GTACCATCTGAGACACCGATTCACCAATGGTGAGTAATGTTTAACACACACAACTCTCAGCACAGCGAAACATGAACATGTAAAAGGTAATCAGTCTAGAAATTACCTTTGCTGCTTCGTCCACTTCGAAGCCCAGCAACAACAAAGCCTGTAAAATGGGTCATTGAGACTTTCATTTAAGATACACGATCGAGCAAAGTATACCAGAAAAAACACCTAATGAGCGCTAATCTTTCAAGAATCTTTTAGCTTGAAAAGAAAACATTTGAAGGCCATCCAAAAACTGCCATTATCTGGTATTGACTGTCGATACAACTTTGTATAAAGTCGTTAAAACAAGATTTCCTTCCCTTTGCCGTAACTTCTTAACCAGATCAAGAATTACTTTTAATACATCTTACGAGTCACAAAATCTCGAAAATTTCAGCTCCTTCAGAAATGCCGGAAAATTTGAATTCTCTAACATTTCAAGTAACAATATTACATATGCCATCTCTACTCTGTCCATGTATGTGTATATAACAAAATGGTTAAAATACAGAAGGAATCGTTCATTACGCTTCATAGTAGTTCCCACATTGAACAACCAAAATGCATATAGGAATAAAATGACTGATGCTACTGTAAAATAACTAACCAGAACTTACAGGTGGACCATATTTTGGGTCTTTGGCGTTTATAGAAACAAACTTAGAATCTTCAGTAATCTCAGAGGGAAGACCTGCAAGAGGGGCATCGCGAAGAACGAACTGATCAGTAGAAATTGCATGAAAAACAAATCAGATGCCTAATAGGCAAAAATGGTTCAAATGAACAGTGGCTTCACAACCTCATCTACAAAGTTAATGATAGAAAATATCATCAAAAATAATAAAAACATGTTAGTCCCTCCATTTCAATCTGTTTGTCTTACTTTAGTCCATTTCAAAAAGAATGTCTCTTTACTTTTTGGCAATTCTTTAATTCCAACTTTCCACATGACATGTTTAATTAAGAACACCAAGATTGAAGGGTATTTCAGTAAATATCTTTAGTTTAAGGACCACAAAATTCAATAGTCTTCTTAACTATGTTAAATTTCGTGCCAAATCGAAATCAGACAAACAAATTGAAACGGAATGAGTAAAAGAACATAGATTCTTGTAGATAATTCAAGTTTACTAGGACTGAGGATCTTAGCAAACCTTAACTCTCTTTCCATGCATATTGTCTTGTCAATTAACAAAGCAATCCAATAAAAGAAGTCAAACATAACTACATTAAAACAATACGAAAATCGAAGTACAAGCCACAATCTTGCACTTTTAAACATGAAGAACCAAATAAAGAAAGATCAATTCTTTAACCAAATTACAAACTCAAAATCTCAAGTAGAAACACAAAAGGTGTAAATTTCTGAGGAACAAAAGTACAAGAATTCTAAGTAAAGACAACAAAAAAGTAGAACCCCATTATTCATTTATCTTATAAAGCCACAATCTTGAACTTTTAAACATGAAGAACTAAATAAAGATCAAATTTTTAACATTAAACCAGTGGAATTTTAACAAGAACAAACCTTCACTATCAAAAGATGCTCTGAGAATTTGTTCTTTAAGCTTCAACTGGTGTCCATTTTGGGTAGATAAAAAAGCTGAGATATGTGAATTCTTGAAATATTTTGATAAAATTGGTTGCTTATTATAGTGAAATCCAGAACAGACTTTTCCATAGCTTAAGCTGATTGAAGAAGAAAAAGCCATCACTTATCCTTTTCCTCTATCTATTTTTTTTTGCTTAATACAAATAATAGTACACTATTTACACTTGAGAACATTATCTGTTTACTGTCCTTTTTTTTGGGGGGTGGG